AGCAACCCTGAAGTACATAATATAAATATTTTTTTTTCCTTCCTCAAACAGCAGAATCCACAAAATGCAAAGAAAATCAGGACTTATGTCCCCATGTGTACAATCAGTCGTTGCCATTGCAAGACCTTGTAAACATGCATTCCTAACCTACACGCCTTACTGAGCCGTTCGTTGCTCTGAACCGCACAGACCTCCCATCCCAGAGACCCCGTTTCACTCCATATGCCGCAGTATTAACTCAAAGGCTGTTTGGCTGATACAGCTACACTGGGACAGCCCAGGTGTTCAGCCCAGCCAGTCTGGAGTCTCTTTTAGTGCGCTTTGGATCACCAATGGACACACAATGGCCGATTGTCAGCATGAGGCCAAAGGGAGCCGACACTTTCCCAGAGAAAAATGCCTTTGCTGTGTGTTTGGAAGGTTACACAGCTGTAAGTCAGACACAGAAGGAGCTGAAACCCTGGAGGGATTATTGCCCCAAACACACATGTGCTATGGAAGGAAGCTGTCCTGTGGACTGACAAACCATTAACTCCTGCTGGTGGGAGCCCATTCCTATGGCTGGAAGTCCTTTACAGCCCCAAACCGCTGGTTGCTTGTCCTGCAGATAATTCATGTCTCATCTCTGACCTGGTGACTTGGCCTGGGTTGTATTTATTTTCTCATTTTATAAGAAACAGGCTCTTCTCTGAACTCATTATTGGTGGGAATACAGGCATGGTGCGAGGCTGGGACCCACACTATACAATATCAAATAATTGAGCGGGAGAACTGGGACTTTGTCCAATACGCCATCTATCTTCCTGGGAAAACTCTCTGCTCTACACGCTCCCAATCGTGCCATCAGCTGGAGCAAGACGGAACTTCACCACACGAGATGAACAAGCCCTTCTCCCAAACGCCCTTTAAGGACAGCAAGCGCTGCCGGAGCCCCAGCAAAGCCTGGTGAAGGTCCTGGGGCTCTCTGGAGGGCAGGAGGACACTGCCCAGGCCCCTCCAAAGGCTGGAGAACGTGCCAAGAAAATCTGGAGGGCAGCAGGGCCCTGCCTGGGCCCTGGTAAAGCCTGGCAATGCCCAGCAAAGCTTGGCAAAGCCTGGCAAAGGCCCCAGTGCTCTCTGGAGGGTGTCAGGTCTCTGCCCAAGACTTGGCAAAGTCCAGTGAAACCCCCTGGGCACTCCAGAGGGAAGCAAGGTCCTTGCTAGGGCTCCAACAAGGCCCCGTTAAGGCTCTGTTGCTCTCAGGAGGGCAGCAGGGCACCGCCCCCGGCCTCAGGAAAGTCCAAGGAAAGTCCCAGGACTCTCGGGAAGGCAAGAGAGCCCTGCCTCAGCTCTGGAAAAACATGGAAAAGGACCCAGGGAATGCTGGAGAAAAGCAGGGCTCATTGCAGGTATCTGCAAAGTCCAGGAAAAGCCCCAGGGATCAGGGGAGGGCGGCACGGCCTCGGGAGCACCCTGGAAAAGGGCTGTGCTGGGGTGGGGGAGCTGGTGGGGCTCTGCGCTCCCACTACCGCTGACTCCTCAACTTCCCCCTCCCCAGAGCCCAGGTCCAAAATGGAGACCCACCACCCAGGGCTCCCACACAGAAGCGGCCAGGACTGAAAGCTGTTGGTGGCCCTCACCTTCCCTTGCTTGGGGAAACGATGAGGAACTCAAGGTGGGATCTGAGCAGAGTACAGACACCGTCAGAGAGCAGGGGACTGAATACTCATCCTAGATAGCACAGGTGACAAACACTGCTCCAGGGCACAAAAAAAAGAACTCAGGAGAGGTTCTGAGGCAACAAGAGGGATCCAAAGGGAGCTACGGAGATAAACGGTGGCTGTGGAGCACAAGGAAGAACCCAGCAGGCATCGTGATGGAAGTAGGGAGATCCTGAAAGGGCCAGAGAGACAAAAGGTGGCTCAGAGAAAAAAAAAAATGAGGGCCTCGGGAAGGAATCTGAGAGAACGAGAGCAGTTCGAAGAGGGCTACGCCAAAGGCTACAGCTCCTGAAGTGGCGTGCAACGGCCTGGGGCGTTCTGGAAGCCCAGA